ACAGGTGGCTTCTATTGACATAATAATTATATTAGTTTCCTGTGGTTGCTGTAAGAAATTGCCACAAATTTTGTGGCTTAAAAACAACAAACACGCATTCTCTCACAGTTCTGGAGGCCAAAAGTCCAAAATCATCACTGGGCTAGAATGAAGGCATGGACATGGTGGTGTTCCCTGTGGAGGCTCTACAGGAGAAGATCTGTTTCTTATGTCTTTCAGCTTTTGGTGGCTGCCAGCATTCCTTGGTTTATGGCCACACCATGGCAAACTTCAAATATCTTTCTGCTCTGTCATCACAAGATGTTCTTCTTATGTGTGTGCATGCATGTGCATGAAATCTTCCTCCGTTTCTGTCTTATATGGACACTTGTAATGATATTTAGGTTCCATCTCCATTATTCAGGATAATCTCCTTATCTCAAGGCCCGTAACTTAATCACATCTACAAAGATCATTTCTGTAAATTATTAGGTCCTGATATCTTTAGGAAGGAGGGCATTTGCAGCTAAATGGTGGGAGATAGTGGCCATAGACTAATGACCCTCCTCCTTGAGTTACAGTTTTATGTGTATGTATCTTATGTCAGATACAGATCATGAACTTGAGTTACACTTACAGGTGCATCTGTCTTACATCAAATACAGATTGTAAACTATTAGGAACTGCCCTGCCTGTTTTCAGAAGCTGTAACCTCTCCACGACTAAGGCTGAGTAAGAGACCTTGGGACCATAAGCCACCAAGGACAAAGCTTATCTTCCTTGTATGGGTGCCACCTCTGCTCCCCTTTATTTTACCCTGCTTGGCCCCCAATGCATAATCAGTTAGCCAATGATGGGTAAGATTCCTCAAGGGAGGGATGACCTAAGATATGCACAGTCATGAAGGGGGCCCCAGGGAAGGACTTGAGGGGCTACAGCACAAGGGGATGATGGACTCTCACCCCTCAGCTTTGACATAGCCTGAGTCCTCATTCTGTCTGCAAGAAGTCTCCTAATCTCTTGGCTGCCTTACTTCCCCTGCCTGACTTAAGCCTGAAACCATGACAGAGGGAGGTGCAGACCTGGGCTGGAACAAATGGCTCCCTGGGGTGATCAGGCCTAAGAAAGAATACACAAAATCCTGTGAAACCTGCTTTGCTAAGAATGCTCTCAGTTTTCTGAGAAGGATCCAAGCAGGAAATGAGTTTGTTTCCCAAAGTTTTATAGCCCCTTAGCTAACAGACCCTGACTCAGAATAAGCCCTCATAGTTCTTTGTGTGTTACCTATTGTTTGATCCTTACTGGCTGACAGTGATTGATGAGCTTTACCTATATTCCTGTGCAAACTAAACCCAATAAAAGCCCATTGAGGAAAAGGTTCCTGGCCCTTCTTCTTTGAGAGATTGGCCACCTTTCCTCCCCAAGCAGATCAGATCTTGGTGGACTTGTTCTCATCCGTGGCAGCTGGGGGTGCCCTGCCAGTGGAGCCACCCCACCCCACCACAGTAAACTTCTCATGGAAAGATAGATTTTCAGGAGGCTGCAGAGCCATGTAATGGGAAAGTTAGAAGTCTAGGAGTCAAGCTCTAAGAGTAGGGTATATGAATGTGTCATTTTAGGGGTGGGGCAATTCTGCATAAGATGGGATCCAGAGTATGATACCTAATAATCTAACCCATCATTTTTAGAATTTTGGGGAACCCCTTTAAGATGTTAAATTACAATGTTAAAGAGAGGCACCTTTGCCAACAATGAATAAGAGCTTGAAGACTGAAGAACAAAATACCTTTCAAAACTGAGTTGATTGATGCCAACTTTTAGCAGTAGAATTTCAAGCACTGGGGACAGGTCAGGGGGAAAAATTCCAATCATGTTACAGTAGCAGCCATGAAATCCACCTGCTTTTAATTCAAACCTTCTGTCTCAACCCCTCCCAGGTCAAAAGAGCTTCCAGTACTCTGTGAGTAAGCTTGGTCCCCAAGAAATAAAACATGGCTTCAGAAGCTCCCTGACTAGAATGAACCAAAGGGAGTAGGTGGCCACTCCTGCTTCCTTAGTCACCTTTCCGCTGTGACTAAGCACATGTTCATTTTTTTTTTGCCTGCAGCCTGGTCCATGTAAGACTCATAAAGCCAGGACATGAACCCCAAAGTTGGAGGATTCCCCTGCACCCTCCCTCCTCAAATGAGGGAGAGGTTGAATGTCCAGGACAAACCCTGCTGGAGAATGTTATAGAAATCTACAAAACTGAGGCTGGTATATGTGGCATTCTGCCTAAGGGCATTTTGTCAACAGAGTGCTTGGAGAAAAATCTAGATGGGTCATTTCTGCACCTATGAATTAACAATATGAATAACATGTCCACCTTGGCAGGCTTAGAAGCAAAGGTTGTTGGTATTTCTTATCTCAAGTCTTAGCTTAGGTGGCATCTGTACCAGGATCTACTTGAAAGTGATTGTCCCAGTAACTTCCATCCCATCACCCTTTTAATTTCTTTTTCACCAAATCTTACAATCTGCAATGACCTTGTTTACTTATTTGCTTATATATTTATTATCCATCTCTCCCACTGCAATGAAGGCTCTATAAAGACAAGAACCTTACTCTTTTTTTGTCTTTTTAAAATTTTATTTATTTAATTGTTGTTCAACTAGTTTTCTGACTTTTACTCCCATCCTAGCCCATTCCCCTAGTGCTCCCCACCTCCCTCCCATTTCCATCCCCCCTTAGTTTTTGTCCATGTGTCCTTACTCTTTTTTTTGTACACTCATATCCTTAGAGCTTAGAAGAGGACCTGACACATGTTAGACATTCAATAAATTTTTCCTGAATGAATGAATGAACAAATAAATGAGTGAATACAGAGGCTGAATAAATGCCCCAGGACCCAAAAAGAATCAATCACAGAAATGAAAACAAAACCCAGATATAAACATTCTATATTTTTATGCCTCAAACATATTTAGCTAACATTGTTTCCCAACTTGCCATTCCTACTATGTTCCCACTTTTACCTGTGAAATATTATCCCCATCAGATGCACATTCCTTTTCTATCTGGAGAAACTGAAGCCCAGCAAAGTGAAATGACTTGAACAAAACTATGACTAGTTATATTTATGACTTGAACTTGGACCCTAATTTCTATCAAAAAGTAATTTACTCATAGGATGCTTAGGAGGTTTTACCTCATTTTGTTCTTTCCCTCCACAAATAAAACAACAAAATACCTCCTAGAAGAAAAGTATTTTTGTCTCCATGAGACAAAAAACTATGGTACAAAGTCAGTGTTACATTTGGCAAGTCAATAATCACTACTCAGGTGATTATATCCAAGAAATAATTAAGGAGGCAACTTTTGCAATATCACCCCATTAATAGAGTTGAGTGAGACCACGTCCTGCTCCCCAAGGCTACCAGGTACACAAGATGGTCAACAAGAAGTCTTAGGCTCAGATTCTGGTTATTTTTAGCATTAGGGGTGTTTCATATGGTTAAGGGGCAACTTTAACAGGAAGCAGGAGATTGACCTTCCCACAATCTAGGGCCATCTGAACAAAGATAGCATAGAAAACATAAAGAACAGGAGCTTCTAATACCCACTTTCACTCTTCCCATGAGACTCTGCTGCCTCCTAGTCATTTGAAATCAATATTTGACTGATTTCATCTATTTAATATGTCAGTAGCTTAGGTTCCTGATAGAGTCTTTCCTATAAGTCAGCCAGACAACTGCTTGGCTAGCTGCCTGCTGAGCAGCCCGGCACCAAGGAATAGACAAGAATCACACACAGTAACTATGCCATTCACTCAGCTTTTATAGAATGCAGGTTCACTCAAAGTAGAATATCAACTACATACTAATAAAAAAAAAACAATCAAAGGGGATACAACTATCCAATGTCTCATTTGCAGTCTGAGACACAAGTGGGCAGGACAGTTGTCAGCATCTTGCAAGGAAGAGTCTCTGGAGCCAGGTGGGCAGCAGGACAGACGAAGTCCTTAGTCCAGCAGGGATGAGCCTCCGGAGGCTGATGTCAAGGGAGATCAGTGTGGCATGGAACAGCACTCTGGTGTGTGGAGCTCAGCTGTCTTATACCTTGAGAGTAGTGTACTCCACTCTTCTGGGTCTTTTTGATGATGTCATGGCATCACTGGTGGCAAGTGTGGAATTTCCCTAGGAGTCTATCTATGGGTGGTTCCGCTCTGCAGACGTAGCCCTTCTGATCATGTGTGCAGATGTCAAGTATCTGCTCTAGCTTAGGTAGTTTCCCTCTTGAACCAAAGTGTCATGGCTGACTGACAGCCGTTTTGTTTGACATGAGTGGCTCCACTTTGTTTTATATATGTTACACTATCTTAATCGAACCAATGCCATTTTGTTGGTCCTGCTCTCCACAAATACATTGAGAAACTTTCCTAATTTCTTAATAAGTCTGAATGTTTTACCTGTGTCCAGTTCTCATTTTCTCTCTGTATGTTATAAAAAGTGCACTCCAGCTCATTCATTCATCCTTTTTTACTTTTTCTCCTTGAAAATGTCAATTCTGAAAGCTGATTTGAATTATAATAGCAATGTATCACTGTCTGTCACTGAAAAGAGAAAGAATTTTTTCAGTTCAAACAAATAAAATCCCTTAGGTGACATATTTTCTCATAAGAAAATTTACTGCCAACCAACAGTGAAAGAATAATCACAGTAATGGGTGATTCTATGAAGATCAGTGATTTATTAAAGAACAGCCTATCTTAGAGAATCTTTGTTAGCTCTCAAACTAACCTCATCATTAACTGATATTAATTATGTCTAGTGTTGTAGCGTCTACTTCCATCACCATCTTAAAGAAAGACATCTCCCTTTAAAGTCACAAAGAACAACTAATGGGTAGCTTCCTAAGAGACAATTTTCAATACAGAATGATAGTTCCCTAAATGTTAAGCACAAAACTGAAAAAAATCACAAAGCAAAGCAATTTAAAATAAAGAATATTATTTCAGAATAATAAAAGGAACTATTCAGGCAGTAGAACAACTTTCTAAAAACAGAATCGATAGAACAACCTGGAAAACATCATTTTAAGCCACCAAATTCAATACATTCAGGAAATAGTATAGTAGTTTTTTGCCTGAGGAACAAGGATTGGTAACCAATGCAGTGTTTTCAGTTATCTGTCTGAGGATTGGTTTTATTTACTATTTGAATTATGCCTTAGAGCACCAACAGCTCACATATTAGCTTTGGCAGGAACACAGCTATTCTCATTCTTAGAATTACTGCCTACAAAAACAAATCCAATGTGTCAACTTTAAATGATCTCCTTGACTCTTAGCTGTTGCTTGGCCAGCCCGTCTCTTTCATTAGATGGTAAGGGCCTTAAGGGCAGAAACCCTGTCTTACTAATTTTTGTTTCCCAGTTTCTAGCACAGAGGGAGGAATGAAATTTACACATAATTAGGGGTGGAGCCTACCCCAACAGTCAATCCCCTTTTGAGTATATATTATTTAAAGCTGCCTTAGTCATTATTCCTATCTTTTTGGCATTTTAAACACTTAAAAAAAATAATTTGGCCAAAAATATCTCTTACTTTGTATTTCCAATTAGCTCATGATAGATTTGCAACATTATATAAATAGTATTGTTAGTTACTATGTGGCTGTCATTTTCCTTTCACTTACTGTTAATATCTCAAAATCACTAAATAATGTACTGGATTCTAAAGTGTTAATTTAAATACTATAAATTATAAGCATTAATTTGTACCAAACATTATGGGTGACTGAAAGCAAGTTATTTCAAGCATTCATAATTAGAATCCACCAACAGATGATAGTTTTCAGAGTCTCCATATAATCTCAACATCCATCCATAGAAATGCTTCCACTGCCTGCTAATGTGTTCATCTGCACCTCACTCAGGCTTTGCTGCTCAGCCTCCATCATGAGTAACTGCAAACAAGAGAACTCAAACAATTCAGCAGCATCTGGGGTCCAGGGTCTGTGGAGGAGTGAGTGGTCAGATCCCCCACAGCCTTGTTAACCATGACCAGGAGTCCGGACTTCAATCTGAAAGTGAAAGGGAGTGGCTGAACGATTTAAATTTGAAAAGTAATTTAAGCTGCATTTAAAAAGTATAATCAGAATACCTACTTATTAATTCACAGTGAAAAACTTCCCTAAAGAGCAGATCAGAAGCTGAAGTCCTCCTGGAAGCAAATGCTCTGCCTTCAGGTCGATGCAGGGGATTCCGGGGTCTGAAGAGGAAAGGGTTTGTGAGGCTCAGGCAGCAGGCCAAGGCAACCTCATTCTTTACACGGTAGGGATCCCCTTACCACCTGCCCAACACCTTTCCCCTGGGTGTGGCTGATAATATTGAGCAATGATTCTGGCAACAGAGGAGGATGGAGAGGGAATGGGTGAGCATGAGAGTGGGAGGACCCACGGTTGATAATGAGGACCTGAGTGCAAAGGATTAGGCAGTTTTAAGATATTTGTAAGAGGCAGAATTAGGTGGACTTAGGGACCAACTAGATGTGGAAAGTGGTGGGGAAGCCACACAGGGAAGTAAGGGAGTGAAGACACCTATGTGTGGGAAAATGACTAGATTTAGGACCTGGCTTCTACTACATCTTACGATCATCTCTTGGCACTACAGAGCACAGATCCTTTACCTCTGCCAGAGAAACCACATGCACTTCCCAAAGATGCCTTCCTCTCTGGTCTCAGTCCATTTGTATACATCACTCCAAATTACAAGACCCTTCTCCTTCCCCTGTTCTATCTGAAAAACTCCAGCTCACCAATTCTGTCCAGCCTGCCTTCTCTGGCCATTCTCCTGATTTCCTTCCTGCTCAAAAGTTATGGGTTGAATTGTGTGCCCCAGAAAGATATATTGAAGTCTTAACCCTTGTTACCTGTGAATGTGACTTTATAAATACCCATAAATAGTTGCATATTTAATCAAGTTCAGATGTGATGATTAGGGTAGATCCTAATCCAATATGACTGGTGTCCTTACAAGAAGAAAATGCCATATGAAGACAGAAACACATAGGAAGAACACCATATATCATTGGAGGCAGCTGCAAGCTAAAGAATACCAAAGACCTGGTGGCCTGCCATAGAGGTCAGAAAGAGGAAGGAAGAATTCTACCCAGAGTCTCAGAGGGAGCATGGCCCTGCTGACACCTTGATTTTAGACTTCTAGCCCAAGAACTGTGAGAGAATACATCTCTGTTGTTTTAATACATTTCTGTTGGTGATACTTTATTACAGAGGCCACAGAAAACTGACACACCAACCATTCCCCTGTGTTCATGTTTTCACGCTTAGAAATCATACTGTATGTGCATTTAAGGCATTTTCTAGTCTGGTAATTCTTTTTTTTTAATATTTTGTTTATTTTTAGAGAGAAAGGAGGACAGGGAGAGAAACATCTATGTGTGAGAGAAATATTGATTGGCTGCCTCTTGCATGCCTCCAGCTGGGGACCTGGCCCACAACCCAGGCACGTGCCCTGACTGGGAACCAATCCATCAAGCTTTCAGTTTGCAGGCTGGTGCTGGATCCACTGAGCCACAGGAGCAAAGCCTTGTCTGGTAACTCTTTGTTTTATATTTCTTCATTTCTATGAGCTTATCTTTAAGGACAAGAATTGTGTCTTCCACGATTGTATGCACAATACATCATTGTGCATACAGCATACTCTTTGGCACAGTGATGCTTAATAACTATTTCTCAAATGAGAAAAAATAAGCCAAAGTTCTTGATGAAATGTGGAGATTGGCAGGAGTGTAATTATGAGATGGCAGGGACTGAAAGGGGCTGATAGGGTTGCACAGTAGCTCACATGTGCCTCAAGAAGAAGTTTTATCTTGGTGAGTGTGAGTCAGTGTGGGGGGTCTCCACCCACAGGGCCCTGCTGGCTGCCACAAATGAGAACAAGTCCACCAAGACATGATCTGCTTGGGGAGGAAAGGTGGCCAATCTCTCAAAGAAGAAGGGCCAGGAACCTTTTCCTCAATGGGCTTTTATTGGGTTCAATTTGCACAGGAATACAGGTAAAGCTCATCAATCACTGTCAGCCAGTAAGGATCAAACAATAGGTAACACACAAAGAACTATGAGGGCTTATTCTGAGTCAGGGTCTGTTAGCTAAGGGGCTATAAAACTTTGGGAAACAAACTCATTTCCTGCTTGGATCCTTCTCAGAAAACTGAGAGCATTCTTAGCAAAGCAGGTTTCACAGGATTTTGTGTATTCTTTCTTAGGTCTGATCACCCCAGGGAGCCAGTTGTTCCAGCTCAGGTCTGCACCTCCCTCTGTCATGGTTTCAGGCTTAAGTCAGGCAGGGGAAGTATGGCAGCCAGGAGATTAGGAGACTTCTTGCAGACAGAATGAGGACTCAGGCTATGTCAAAGCTGAGGGGTGAGAGTCCATCATCCCCTTGTGCTGTAGCCCCTCAAGTCCTTCCCTGGGGGCCCTTCATGACTGTGCATGTCTTAGGTCATCCCTCCCTTGAGGAATCTTACCCATCATTGGCTAACTGATCATGCACTGGGGGCCAAGCAGGGTAAAATAAAAGGGGGCAGAGGTTGAGTCCATACAAAGAAGAGAAGCTTTGTCTCCTTAGTGGCTTATGGTCCCAAGGTCTCTTACTCAGCCTTAGTCATGGGGAGGTACAGCTTCTGAAACCAGACAGGGCAGTTCCCAACAGGTCAGGATAGGGGGAGTGGTGATGAAGGAAGCAGCTTTGAGAATCAAGAAGAAAGCCCACCTCCTCCCATTCCTGTGCTCCATGGCACAGGGATGAACTGCCAGCTGTGTGGGAGAGAAAAACCAGAATTCTGTTAGGGTGAAGAGCACAGGCAACATTCTGGAAAGTCCTCTGGGGTCTCAGACGGGCTAATACTCAGCAGGCCTATACCAGCACAATGATAAGCAGCCACTCGTCAGAGCCTGTAGAGTGTTCCCCGTCCATCGAGCACCCTGAGGTTCCCCCCAGTGAGCCCAGAAAGGGGCGGCATTTGGTATGTCAGAGGGCTGTGAATTATATGAACCTGTACCTTTTTGCTGGCCTTTTTCCTTTCTGCTTTGTTGAAATCAGCCCACATCATTTGGGTTATGAAATATTCTGATTATGCCTAGAGTAAAAGTGGTTTGTTAGTAAGGAATGGATGCTGGAGTGCCCAGCAGACAGGGCTGAGGAGAAAAACACTGAGATGCCTGAAGATGACACTGGAGAAAGAGGCTGGATATCCGGGGAGGCTGACAATAACAGGAATGGGAGCCCCGGTACGTGAAACTGGCGTTGGGGTGTGGAAGGGCTTGTCCACCAGGCCATTGGAACTCTCTGAAAACTAGCTGAGGTAGGAAAGAAGCTCCACTAACTTAACTGGCTCCTGAAAGCAGCTCTCCCTGGAGGAAAGGGCTTGGCCGGGGCCCAGACCCTGGGAAGATTAAAAATAAAGTTCAATGCTTATACAGGGGAAACAAACCACATCTGTGCTAAATTCTGCTCGGAGTTATTTTAGTATTGACTTAATTTTATTTTATTCTAATCCTTCAAGAAATATAATATCACATTTAATATGTATGCTAACTTGATCAGAAGATTTTCTTCATGACCACTTTCTATAAATTTTCTTTATTTCTATGTCCCTCTATGAAAGGAGAGGAAACATGAAACAAAAGCAGTTAAGTTTTTTAAAGACGTTCTCTTTGACTTTGAAAGAGTATGAGGGATTATATCCCTTATTCATTGTTTCCTATTTGAAGGGATCTAGTAAAATCAAAGTGAGTTTCAGCTTTGGTCAAACATAAAGCTCCACAGTCCTGGACTGAGTCATTCCTAGGACAGACTCGGACATGTTTCTGGACTCTAATCTGAAATGTGGCAAATGCAATTGCCTTTGGCAAGCAGAGCTGTGCAGTGTACTTTAAAATGTCAGAATATTAGGGGTAGGACAGACCTTCATAAAATTAAGATAAAATTAATATAGACTAAGGCCTATCTTGAACAGAGTTGAGTTTCCAAGTAGGTAACTATTAATGGCAGGCAATTCGAAAGAACATTCCACCCCTTATTGGTGTGGTTCAGTGGACTGAGTGCTGGCCTGTTAACTAAAAGGTCACCGTTTTGATTCCTAGTCAGGGTACATGCTGGGGTTTCGGGCCAGGTTCCCAGTTGGGGCTATGCAACAGGTAACCTTTCTCTCTTGCATATTGATTTTTTTCTTCCTTCTCCTCTCTCTGGATATAAATAAATAAAATGTAAAAGTATTTTAAAAAGGAAAGAACACTCTAGTTATTAACTTACAACTCAACATCATTGAGGCCACTGTTAAAAAAATTCTAGAGACAAAGCTAGTTTTCATTTTGGCTTCATTTTTAATTCAATTCCGTTTATGATGCTGCCTAGAAAACCCCATAGTTAGAAACAGTGAGAAGCAAATTTCTTTGTGCTCTCGAGTGTTCTTGATAGGAGATATATTTAAAAATAACTGGAATCCTTCGGCATTTTCTACTTTGTGTTTCACAGATAAAAATGTTTGCACATTCCACTGACCCACTTGGCCCCGGCTGCTCGTTCCCAAGCACGAGCGTCTCTCCACAGTCTCCTTACCTTGCTCTCTCCCGACTTTCAGTCCATGGAGAAAAAAACAACTGGATACCAATTGCTCTTATGAGCGCTTTGTGGTTCCTCCTAAGGAATTCTAAACCTCCCACACCTGCCTTCACCATAGGAGAACACTGAGGGTCTGAAATCCTATCCAGAGCATAGGCACACTTAAGAATTCTGAACACCTTACTGACACAAATAGGAAGATATTCTTCATGAAAACAGCAACATTGCTCTCAGAGAGCACAGAACCACAACTCAGAGAGACCCATATTAAAACTAGATGTATGTGTTGTGTGTATGTGTGTGTGTGTGTGTGTGTGTGTGTCTAGTAACACAGAATTGTTTTTCAGTAAGTGCTTTGAACTTAAAATGAAAAGAAAGAAAATACCTGCTGTAGCTCAATTTATGAAACCAAGGAATAGTTAGGACCAAGAAAAGGGCCTGGCACAGAGCAAACCTTCAATAAAAGATTTTTGACTGACTATTGACATAACCTCCTTTTTTAATGCCTAAGGACACCATTATTTGGGGATGAAATTTTAGAACTGCTTATTCTTTTATTCACTGATTCAATGAGTACTTATCAAGGGCTTCTCATAGACAGGCACCGCATTCATTAAGTTATGCTAT